TTCAGGTCTCTTAGAGAACATATAGTCACTAGAACTAATGGTATAGGCTACTGAGAGCTACAGAGAACTAAATAGCTGTCAGGTTTCTTACTGGTTTTAAAAGGTAGCCCAAACTAAGGTCGATATCTGTGATGAATACAACCTACATATAAAACCAATCTTGCACAAAACCTCCTCACTTTAATGAAATTATAAACAAAACTCACAATGTATAAAAATTAAAACCAGTTTTCCGTATAGTCATAGCACGAGCAAGAACACGTAGGTGTTTAAATTTTATGCCCAAAGTATCTTCTAATGTACACAATTTCTAGAAGGGTTAGTGGACGGTAGATAGTTAGGAAATAACATAAATAAAAATATGAGAACATTTACATGAATATGGTTTGTTTTTTCAAAAGAGAAAAATTTGATTGGAAATGTCAAAATAAAAATAAAACAATTAGAGAGTATTGAGACAAACAATAATTATGGAGGTAGTTTTTTTACTTCAGATGAGCTACCTGCTCAAGAATTTATTTGTGTGGTGCAGATTTATCATGATCTCCAGTTGTACTAGTATTTTCGTCTTTTCGATAAATGTTTCGATAGAAAAAAACATCCCTAAAAATTGTCAGAAGTCATTTGCCTAGCTTTTTGTGTTTAGTTATTGCTAGATTGTCATAGTGCGCCCTCCTTCTCAGTGACCATTTGCAATTAAGGGAAAAAAACTCAATTTTAGAGTGATAAACTCTGTTGAGTAGAGGAACTGATCTAGTACACATTCTATTCAACTTTGGAATTTCTACTAGAATTGTGTGCACAGACAATTTTTTGCACATTTGTTTTATCATTTATCATCTGAACAGTAAATCAGCGTCGAAGAAACTGCACATTTTCGATGTTTTGGCCTATACAGAAATTCAAAAGACCATCTATTGGACAATGTACGTAAGAATATATGGAAGGAATATCAGAGCAAAATAATATAACGTGAAGTATTGGAAGATTATTAGTCATTCTGTGGCATTCATTCCTAATTTCAACCATTCATTTTTTAACTAAATCATACAGTCCTGAATAAGTATTATACAGGTGTAAATGGCATCTTTAACTTTATAATATAGTTTTAAGACATCGGGTTAGTATTTTCGGAATCTTAAACCCTTATTTGATCGGGTATACCGGGAACTAGTCAGTCAATCCACTACATTTTATTAAATAGATTAAAAGTTGCCAATAACACACATAATGTACGTAAATGAATCCTGACATTAATTATTTACACATCTTGTCACGGGACGTTACACTGACACAAAGTTTCGTTGTATTTATGATGTGGATAAATTTAAAAAGTTATCAAAAATTTTTAGGTTGAGTTCCTGGTTCCACGTTGCCTGGTGCTTGGAATTATTCGCGTTTCGTAGGACCTGAATAGGCGAGAGTAGATTTCTGGAGACGAATATGCTTGAAAAAACAACTGTACTTATCATATAATCGAAAATATCCAGTCACTCAGTCTCCTTTAAAAAGCATAACAACGACCATGTCGAACATTAGCAAACTTGTAGGTGATTGTTAGATAGATAGATAAATAAAAATACAGGAAACTAACCCATTCACCTTTTTTATACCTCGGTCATAATTTTGTAAATAATGATGAAAACATACCATATACAAGCATGTAAATTTGAAATTATTTTTATCAATAATTACATATAGTAAATGTGAGCATATATCAGTGGTACAAAAATAGACCGTAAAATACAAATAGAAGTTCATAGAATTCACAAGTCGACAACAATCGGCGATTTAACTTTCTAAGCATTATACTGGTCATGATACATACCAAAGCGAACAATCTTTTTTTCATTTTTCTCTACATCAGTTCCCAGAAGGTGTTCTGAGGATAATTAATACAAACAACACAAAAACTGTTGGATATACCCACAGTTTTATTGTTGTATGCCTCATACTTCTCAATAATGAACATAGAACTGCTTGATCAATGGGTAAATATCACAAACCAGAAAATAGCTTGAAAGTTCTTTTCTAAGTGTTTTATTAGGAAATTCATTTTATTTCTGCCAAATTTATTATTACAAAAAGAGGCAACAAAAAAATCAAGTAAATATGGTAGATCGATCAAGTTGGTAGAACAACACTTTCAGTTTGTACAGAACATATATTGATTGGCTAGAATTCAGTATTGATACAAACCAAAAGGCAATTATACCAAAGTATGATCGGAAATCATTTTAATGAAACATTATATATGTATATATATATATCAAAAAAGATAAACATCCATTGTTAAAAACTTCAAGTGGCAGTTCAGTGAATTATTATTTACAAATATACGTTCCGTTTATGCCAGAGCGACAACTCACAAACTAGGGAAGCTTAATATGTAATCAGTGATTCGAAATTCCGAGTTACGCTTTACATATATGTCGGGTTAAATAGTCTGCTTATCCTTGTCATTTCTCACACACGCACATGTGATGATATGAGCCTATAAAATTGATCTATCAAAGTAATTATAACATGAAAGTTGTGTGATTAGATAGGATGTATCAAGGTTGTTTATTTCGTGTGTCTACTCTTTTTACTTACCACTGATATTGTTACTATTTCTATTAGTCTAGGATTTGACTAAATAATTTTATTAGGCTATGCGCTGATACGATGTGACAACTTGAACTAATTTATATATATGGCAGATCCTACGTTGCTTATGACTGACTGACTCATCAAAGTTTCTCAACAATGGATGTTTATTGAGGATATAATTTAACACAAAATGAACATTACAACAATAATGGAGTGAATACCTTTAGCATAGGGACTTTTGTTGCCCATGATCGATCACCTTCAGGGCATTGTGATTGTAATGGATGCAATGGGATTTGTACCCAAACACGATGAATTCTTTCATCATCACCAAATAGAACAGCACCAAATATTCTATCAACAATATCAAGTCCAGCGTCTAAAGTGATTGCAGCTAAGATATATATATATATATATATATATATATATACATTATTTTGAGTAAAACATTTGATATACATTATGACAATCAAGAGTTGTCCATAGCGGACAACGAAAGCTTCACAATTATACCACTAACCATATAAAGCACAATAAAAACCATGTAACATGTAACAAATAATCATTAATTATAGTATAATTAACCAATGCACTTATTAGTAACCAATCAAATGCATGCGAAATATTATCATTATCACTATTATGAGCGACCAAGCATTTTTCGTCTACGATTGATCGAATAGTTTCACACTATTTGGGTGCCGAGTTAATGTGAAACATTAAAGAGAAACAATGTATTTGTATTTTCCAGGCGAAAGGTTAGATTTACTTCAAATTCATTCGCTGAGATTTACAAATACATTCTTCCTCCTTAATGAGCGATCAAGCGCTTGGTTAGTTACATTGAACCAATTACTAATAAAAAAGTACAGTTGACATAATGAAAAGTGGAATTATAAATCTGCATTGATCGAATAACAACATTTTCAGTTATTTCTAGATGAAACAGAAGTTTAATTGTAACACAGTTTAATTTATGCTGTTATATGGTCTGAATAATCAATCTTGTTGGCTCGTTTATACCATTGTCTAACCAATCAGCTTAAATTATTCAACCATTCTTTCTTATGGGTAATTGTAGCGTGATCATTGTCAATTGAAACTACAGAGAGAAGGAACGTTGGACATTGAAAAGATTGATGAGTTCTATTTTAAAGTTAGCAATATATTTGCAGGAATATTAAGTGTAGTGTCTGTAACTATTTTGAAAATGGGGGGAATTAGATAATTCAATCAGATAGTGACTAGTTATCATGGGAACGAAATGAGCTTTTTTTAGAAAAAAGAGAAAGTCATAGAAGGCGACAAAATTATTTAGAATGATGCAAATAAACAATGAAAGAAAAAGCCTATCGTCAACATTCGCGAACCATGCTGTAGGGGTTAGTTTAGTGATTAACTACCAAACACTAGTAAGCTGTGGGTCCTAATCCCGCTTTACTTCAGTTTGGACACAGATAGTACAATTAGTCTGTATGTATACACACATACATTATAGACCATAGTTGAGTTATATCAACTTATTTTACTGCAAGTCGTGAATTTTAATTAACAGTAGACCCGTCAGTAGATGTACCTAATGTTCAAAAATGGATCATGTCAAAAAAATTCAACCCGGATCAACCCTAGAAAACTGTCTTATAATTACTAATTCAGAGTTCGAAAATTTGTATTGTTGATGGTTGGGAATAAAGATATCCGAAAAAATCAAAAACTACTCTACAGTTTTTCACCGTACATATTGTTGTTGTTTTTCTTTTATCTTGCCAATTGTTAAGACTTGAATCGAAATACCATTTGTTGATAATATAAGTTTGATGGAATTTTTTTGAATTATTGCATTCACTATTTACACTGACATTACCAACTGTCGCTTGAAATAGATCAGAGATGATGATATACCTAATGATGTATTACCTACAAAGTTACATCTCTGAAAAATTCAAGCTGTTCAAGGCCCTTTGTTAATTGAGAGCACACACAACTCTATGAATAAATACAACATCAATAACCAACATGATAAAACTTACCCATTAAAGCTTCAAATGCATCAGATCGAGCGTAGATAAATGTAGAATCATAACAAAAGTCTACACTATGAGTATACAACAAGTATTTATGAATGCCAAGACGCTAAAAAATTACGATAAATTTATTCTTAAATATCGAACGAAATAAAAGTAGACATACGATACATGAAATCAGATATTCACTTATTCGAATGTACGATGTGTGCTATACAATGCTCACAAATAAGAAACAAATCAAAATCGTCCAAGATTTAATTGATTCGAATGTACGAGTTTGAAACTATTGAGCAGTTAAAAGGAAACAAAAATCAAGTCGGAAAAAACACATGTTCAGTACAATTTTCTCAATAACTACTCAATGAATATATTGATTTTTAGTGATTATCACATAAATGTTGCACCTAGGTGACAAACTTACTGTCTGCGATGTTAATTTAAACTCACCCTTTTTGGATAAGTATAACAATTTGGTGTTATGTGATTGGTTATATTCTGAGAGACAAGTTCCAAATAAGTTTCCTGTTACTAATTGAGGCACTAATCACTAGTTAGTTTGTAACTTTAATTTTTATTGATATTTATCTGATGGTACAAAAATAGTAGTTGAATATTTTGTACATAAATAAATTACTGTTTCGATTCTTTTTGTAATATATATTACTAACTCAGTTGGATAATAGTTTTTTTTTTCTGAATTACATTCACTTAACACTGGAGGATCAATCCTATAAAGCGAATTATCACTTTAGACAACAATCGTTCCGATGTAATTGGAAGAATATACATTAATATATTTGGTATCATTCTATCGAGTTGAAATAACGCTCAGATTTCTCCCTGAATGAACACTAATTTGCTTAGGATGAGCACTGAACGATTTATCTGCATAAACGATCCACTCGTGCTCTATGCTGGATACCCAGCCAGCATTATTCTTCCAGGCATTAACACAACTCAAATCAATAACACGTGATTTACCAGACAATCAATTAAGTACAAGAGGTAGGGAAATATATACATGACACACCTAATACCTATCAGATTATCTACCAGTCTATCTACGTAAACAACCAATCAATACTTTCTCTCGCTCACACAATAAGAGTAGTTAGCTGGGTCATAATAGTAGGTGAAATTCGCCTGATTGCAGTTTGCTCAAATACCGTGACCAAATGTTAGAAAAGTTTAGGTAACATGTCTCATCGATCGTAATGACGCATATGAATTCCCTCTTTATCTGAAGATAATTATATTTTTTATTAGACAAATTGGTTGTTTATTCTCGAACTATATTGTATATGCCTAGTGTTTTCTCCTACCAATAACACTACCATTAATATTACTCTTACTACTGTTAGATTTATCTTGATAGTTTCAGCTCGCCATGTTAACAACTTGAATTGATGAACACATGTGCTGAATTCTGTCGTTTATGACTGGGTGATTAAATCATTAAGTGTTCGATGATTAAACTTACAACAGCTAATTCAGCTAAATGTTGATTTTGAACGATGGCTTGACGGTATGCATCCAAATGACCTTCGGATAATTCAGGGAACATGAAGAATAAGTGGATACTGCAAACGGACATACAGATACATATAAACAGAAAAAGGGAAAAAGAGGGTAAGTGGAGGAAAAAGGAGACTATCTAAAAGCAATATTCCTAAGAAAAAAAATCATAGCTATTAAAACAAAGAGGGGTTTTTCAGCAGTATGCATCCAGGACCACACTAGCAATCAGATTCATGACTTTTATGTGTTGAAACGAATACTAGACCACCAGAATCAGAGAACCGGTGGCTAATAATAAAATTTTGACCTCAATTAATACACGATGCAGCGAGGCTACCCCACCATCCAATGCCACTGGTAGGAACTGCTTTACTCCTGAGATACCTGGACTCCATCGATCACGTCACATTTCAGGAACATTTAGAAGTAAACAACTAGTGAGCTGACTATTAACAGTTTAGATGAAAGAGTCTTGTTAAAATCAATTCGCCTTCTGAGTGACTGCGCGCCACGGAATGACATCGATTAAGATGTAATGTTGAAAATCATGGAGTACAGAACACAATTATTTCGTCCTAGTATTATTGGACACCTACCTTCCAGTAGTTTGTATACACAGTCCCGTAAAAAATCGAACTCAAAGCCATCAGTTCAGTGAGCTAGCATGAAAAACGAATCGTTATTGAACAATTAACAGACAACGACCAGTTATCTAAACAACAACAATAATAATCTTCATGAGCAATCAATAAGTAAGTCACATAAACAACGTATAACCTGACGCGACAGATGAATACCAATCCAACATGTCTCATTTCAAATCAACCCAATTACAATGAGGAAATCATCAAGGTTAGGAACGTAGCGGAATATAATAATCATGATAATATCAATTGTAGTAAATTGTTAAATATGAAAAGTAAATTTCAGTAAAGAGTGTAAATGAAACCAAAGAATGAAATGTCTGGACAGGATACTAATCTCATGAGTTAAGTTCAGATATTAACAGTCAGTCAGTCAGCTACAACGTAGGACCAGGCACATATGTGCATCGGTCCAGGTTGCCATACCTCATTAGCACAGCAAGATGAACACCGGATTCATAGGAGTGGTTAGGTCAAAGGTTGCAATAAGGATATAGTATAGGAAGAAAGAATTAGTTCGTAGACAGAAAGAATGAAGTGATTTTAGTCTCTTAGTTTAAGGGAAGACAGGGAGTGTATACACCGACGCCATTGTGATCGATTCTGAGCCATGTCACCAAGAGTCTCCAACCATTGGTTACGAAAGTCACGCGGACCCCAACCAAGTAGTCTGCATCTACCAACGTGGCTCAGATTAGAAGTTAGTGACTTCAGGCACTGATGCCACGTTTTGGTTTGGCCGCCCCTAACTTTCTTCCAACCATCCCCTACCCCGGTTAGCATTGCACGTCGTGGTAATCGGTGTTCAGGCATACGTAATACGTGGCCCAACCATCTCAGTCGATGAAGATTCATAACCTCATCAACTGATTTACCATCATTCCCTAATACCCTGCGTCTAACCTCGCTATTACTTACCCGGTGATCCCAGCTCAGATATTAACAAACTAAGAGGAAAGTAACAAAGAAGTCCAGGTGAAAGTAAAAAGTCAAATATTAGAGAGACAGAGAGGGAACATAAATTCCAAGCAGAATAAATGAAAAGAAGGAATAAAAAAACGTATGAAATAATAACCAAATAAATAGATGTTATGTAAAATCGTCAATTGACTAAATTTGAAAGTTTTTGATACAGATTAACCTCAGCAGGCAAACCACTGAAAACCAACGAGCACTGGGGATAGACAGCTGTTCCATCCTACTTTTATAACTACTTATTGGGTGGAGGTCGTGGGCATGCACTGTCGGAATATCCCACATAAATTGGATAGAACAGAAATAGTCCTGAGGCTACACGCCCTTGGTTTTCAAAGATTTACGAGTTGAAGTTAACCAACAATTCAAATTATTTAACTCACTACCTGGAGATAACTTCAACAACTGCATCGCCTAAAAATTCCAATCGTTCATTCCCATAAATATTCGATCGTTCTTCGTTCATTTTTGGTAAAAATGACATAACTTGTATCATTTTAGTTAAACCCTTTTTACGCCATGCCTTGTATAATTCTAGCTTATCACCATATTCTAAAATACGTGGACCGCAACTAACCAATGAATTTTGAAAATGATCTTGATTTGTACCGAAATTTGTTCGCCGATATGACGGATGAGTAAGGGATTGCTATAAAAACAAACAAAAAGAGGGAAACAGTATATAACATTCATGATTACATAGTTATGTCACAATTTAGACTTCTTCCAATCTGAGCTATTTCTATCGTCATTGTTTTGTCAATCTGCATGTAAAAGGTCGGGTCTAAAATACGTCTATGATGGCAGTTCTGTTCCGTATTTCTGAAACTTAGTCCTTCCAAGGTGAGGATGTTTGCCAACGCTTTGTGTTCAGTCGTCACTAACTCCGAAGAATTGTTGATATCCAGTGCCCAAATCATGCTAATGTGGATGTTCGGGAATATGTATTCGGGGACAGAGTGACGATAATCCAATTAATGCCACCAACTTGAAAGACCAGTTTCAATAGCTAAAACATGTTTTACGAATGTCATTCCAGAGGCTTCCACATCAAGTATTAATTGCCGATGACAATATAGGTTAGAAGAAACAGAGGGGCTGTCAATTTGCGACATAGGACCGTGATATAAATTAAAGCTGTATATAACAGGGATCTATTGGTTCATCAAAACTCGCTGGTTAAGATCCCAGACAGGGTGCAACTTGATTAGCTTGAAGTATTATCAAATATGTTTTAGAATAGAAGCTGGTAGTTGTCCTGCTGTATTTTTTACACTCTTCATAAAAGTAAGGCTCTCTAAACTAAAAGAGGTCTTCCTTGATTGTAATTTTAAATAACTTATCTATACTGTTTGTGATCACTTATTCTTTTGATTGCACTCCCCTCTTCTTCATTATCCCTTCATAATGTTAGCTTTTTATTTTGTATGATGTATACTATTTTTGGTGCTCAGTTCACTTAAACCAAATTTTGTGTGAATTAAATATACAACAATAAAATATAAAATAATGTTCTATGTTGTACGTGTTCCCAAACATACGTACATATATACATACACACATAAAGACCAGCAGAACAGAAACTTACATGTAGTAAAGACTTATCGTTAAATGTATATCCCAAACGATTCTCCAAACTTTCCAACGATTTATGAAAACGTAGGTGAGCTATTAATGAGACTAAATTCAATGCATATTGTGGTATATCTGGTCGTATTCCAGTTCGATAAAAGCCTTCACAACTAATCTCTACAGTAACTTCACGTCGATGTACCCTAGAAAAAATGACAGATATTTATCATTAGAGGTAATAAATAACAAGATTGTAAAATAATTGGAAAATAGTTACTAGATTGATTAATTTAGGTATAAAATTAATTGTGACACATTTTTAAAATCTTTTTATGCTATTCACTATTTCAATCAACCAATCTGTATACAATAGTTTGAAGTTTGAATGAGCTTCCCAACGAATACGGCACTATATGTGTTATATATTCTCACTCCACTAGACAGAGAATATTCAGCAAGTACACGTGTTCATCTGTACATAATACTTTTGAGTCATAAGTGTTTTACCAGGTAGTTTGTAATACCAATCTTGATTGCCTAGATCGAAGCGAACGAGGAGGGGGAAATTAGAGCATTTAACCGAATACATGTTGTTTTATCTGTTAAGCGACCCCCAACTCGATTTTACTGTACAAGGAATGCGGATAAATAGAAAAAATCCAAATCTTATGATAATAAAGGGACGCTATCTGTTGTAAAATCAAGTTGTGAAATGACCTTCAGATGTTTAAAATCCCTACCATAACAGCCAAGTGTTGTTATATGCAACTGTTTAAGAAAATATAATCTGAATACAATTTTTTACTTTGAAAAATACCTGATTTGGATTGTTGCATTAAAAAACGCTAAATGAAATATCGATTTTAAAAGACAACAAACATAGTTATCGAATTAATAAACCTTGAGACATCATGGTACGACAGGGGGGTGGTAAGTTTTCTTGTCCTCAAAAAATGTTCTCATTCGACCACAGCTTTTAGCCTCTGTCGGAAAAGTCCTAACCACTCCGTTTACGCAGCGAAGTAAGAGAATAAAAATAATAAGTTAGGCCCTTAAACCAGGATACTGGATACGGTGAGTCCACAAAAAACAGTTGGAAAACAGCTTTTCGGTGCTTCTTGGTTCTTAATGCTTGTTTGAGCGAAGTTAGTCAGTTCATTATTTAGTCTATAAATGTTAACAATCACCACAAACCTATTACATTAACGACCAAAACAGAACTTACCCAGAATGCTCCATCTCTTCTAATTCACTGGCTAATTGTACCAACTGTACACGATCAGAAGTACTAATTCTTGGCTTATTCATCATTAAATATTGTAATTTCATAAAATTTTTAAGTACAGATTTATACTTTGGTTCACGCGTTAAACTTAATTTCATTGGTGTATAAGTCATGTGTACTATGAGTGGATAAATTAATATGGTTTCATTTGATTGACCTGTTACAGATTGACGATCTAATTGATCTATGCGTATAGTTGATGGTTTCTGCAATATTAAAATTAAAAGGCACACAAAGAGAGGGAGTTGAGAAAAGTAATAAGTTATCAGAATACATTTACTAGTCAGTAACAGTATACAATCCAAATGATAGGATAGGTCAATGAAATATATGTTTCTCCTCTATTTTGGACTTTGATTTTTACTACGACATGGTCTCAATAATCCCATTGAGTAGTTGAACAGAATAGATAGATCACATCTAGCAGTGGATTTGAGGACGTGCATCTCATCCTATTTCGAACTCTTCAGCTGGGTGCACTTAAAAAGTTTTAGTGTGAACATCGACATTGGTATGAAGGTGGATTCAGATAACAAGTCCTAAAAAAGATGAAATGTGCGTTCCGAATTTCGTTGATAGCCACAACCCATCTATTCTATTATGTCCTATACTTGATTACGGCAGAATACGGTATACAAATATCAGCGCTCAAACGTGTAGAACCTGATAATCACAAACTAAGAGACAGAAGAAGCAAGAAAAGTCGAAAATGTGCACAAAAACAGGGGTATTTATAGTTCTTATAATAGGCTATAACATCATTATAATCCGCAAGTAGGAAAGTTATACAACTGTCCAATAAAGGCATGCCACGTTGATATTTTAGAAGGTTCTATCGGGTTATGATTGGATGGAATATCTTCGTCTCCTTTAGAGCCTCTAGAAGCTTCATCGTGCTTTTTGGGAGCCGTCCCAACACATTCCGTAAAAATGATCACAAATTGGCTACATAAAAGCAATCAGCGTAAGATGTACATATCTTAACAACGACTGATTTAAATTCGATCAATAACCAACTTACTTTGCCTGGAAAGCAAGCTAATGTGCCTCGTAAATTAGCGATATGATTTGACCATTCAATTGTAGTCATACGCTGTATTGAAGATAATTCCATCATATTAATTACCGGAGTCAGTGCCTCTTTTAACCAGTGTCGCATTATTACATGAACGGGTAGTAATTCCCCAATTACTGTTTTATTATCACTACTATCGTCGATACAAACGATTAATTTATTTGACTCGATATTATGTTCTTTACTGTTATCTATTGAAATACTATTGTTAGTAGTAGTGGCAGTATTTGTAATCGAAAAATTATCATTGGTAGTAGTAGCAGTATTTGACAAAATACGTATAAATCTTGGCATTAAATGTATCACATTACAGCTCTCCTTTGCTCCATATGGTTTCCAGTTTAAATCTAACAACTCCAGTAATTCTATGAATACATATTGTGTGAGTAGATCTAATGAACGAACAGTAAAATACTGAAAAATAAAAATGAAAATATTTAAACAATTGAAGGATAAGCTACGGTATACACTACATATCTTTTAAATGTAAAGTACTTCTGCAATACTCGTAGGAGTCAATGCTTACACATTCTTTGTGGTAATCCGTTAGAAGTAATAAAAAAATTCATTTATCTAGGTAGCTGTGAAAGTTTTGATGGTGGTGCAATTAGATCAATCAACATACAGTGAAAGGCAGATGGACTCATTCTAATCTGGAGTACCTTTGGAGTTGTCGTAATATTCGTCTAGATGTCAGAATTTGGATCTACAACGCGTCGGTGTGACCAATTCTGTACCATACTTGTGAAACCTGGTCTCTCCGAATTGAAGATGTCCTACGACTATGTTTCGATCATCGTTGTCTCCGAAGAATTGCTGATATCCAGTGACAGTACCATATTAATAATGTGGAGGTTCGGCGTTCAGGCAGTGACAATAACTCACTTGGTGACATCTTGAAATACCGGCTTCGGTGGTTTGGAGATGTGTTATGAATGTCCTCCTAGTGACTTCCACATCGGGCATACTTTGCCGATGATGGAATGGAGTAAAAGCGAAAGTGGTCAATTTATGAGAAGAGCCCGAGATACGAATCAAAGCTGTATATGACTGGGACCTGCCAGTTTATCACAATTCCTCAGTTGGGATTAATAGTGATTGTGAAACCCAGTAATCATCACAATCAAAACACAATACCAAGTGTAGTAGAAACATATAGAAAAGTCTAACCTGAGGGAATTCCTCTTCAATCGGGAAAATATCATATAACAGATTGAAACGTAGAACTTGACATGGAGGTGGCTAAAATTTAAATATAGCAATACAAAGGTAACTTTGAATACAACAAAATGATTATTAGATTTCCATAAATTAATAAGAAGAATTAACAAAAGAGCTGAAATAGTATTTGTGATCCTTGAAAATTAAATGAAAAGGAATATAATTTGAAAGAAACAGTAAAAATATACTTTAAATTAAATCCTCACCAGGTTTCACTCTAATATACGATTACATTTATATGGATATACCAATCAAATATAAGCTTCATTGTTCAATTATCTGAATACTTCTTATTAAGTAATTTTATAGTTTTTATGAATGTTATTTCAGCATTTATGTTTTTCCAAGTCATTGACTTGTTTCGAATTATGAGACATTGATTCAAGCCGTTGTTATTCTGATCACAACTAATACACTTGTCATCATCGCACTATCAATTTGTACTTTCTACTTATTATGTTTATTTCATGTCATTTATTCCACTATTATTACAGACGCGTAAACTGCCTTGATTGGTTTAATAATTTCATATATGCACATAAATATTATTGTTTATTACAGTAAAACCTGATGAAAACCTAATTGAAAACAATATTGTTCGCTTATATATGCGTTCTTCTAATTCACAATATGGGGATTTCTAAAATATACTTTGTTGGTGAACCAATCATACCACAGGTAATGGCTATTGAATCTGTGAATGAAATTCAAGGTCTGATGATAGATAGTTGGTATCTATATTATTTAATATCATCAATATTCAGGTAATACGATGCATAAAAATGGGTAACATGGAGAGGTTAAAGCACAGGAATTATACTTTATGATTGTTTGAAAGCAATTAAAAGGTTTTTAACATTCAAAATCAAAGGACCAACTGTACAAGTATTCATGTGACTCCTAACTTCTAACCAATATACTGTATCTTAACTACCAATCTTAAACCTAAATTCTAACGCTAATCTAAACTTCTAATCGCAACCATAATCCAACTATGACCTGAGTTTTGAACTGGATAGTAACCCGATAATGGTTGAAAGTCTGGTGTGTTTCTTATTCCCCATCATCGGTCCGCACATTTCATTGAAAACCTATTTCGGATAATCATCATGATCAAACTTTCTCTAAGAACGATTCCTCAATCTTCTTTGTGCATGTAGCGTTTATTATATAACTCTGTATTTAATAAATCAGTTACTTTAATTTGGTAATTTATTATATCTGCCAAATAAAAACGATAACTCGTAAACTGTTTAGATGCACATGTACTTAGTTTGACTATATGGAGGGAGAAAAATATTATAATTATACGTAGATGTTTGTGTTATAGGTTGGTTTTACTTATTAAAACATATATATTAGTATGAAGGGGTGCTAAATATATATGTGCCACACCACCATTCGACTTGCGTGAGGTGGTTTTCTTAGGCCATTCCCCGAACCTTTCACCTAGAAGTCTAATCTGCAACGCAGTGGAGTAACGGTTTCATGCGCATTAGTGTATTTCGTGGCTAGCAGCTATGTATTCACTAAAGTACACATTAAAATGTATTCCGACTATTCTATAGGTAGGGAAAGCTTTGGGTTGGCTGATCTGTTATATCAAAAACGGTGGAATTCTTAAGTAGTCCTTATGACATAGTACAAATCAGCTGCAATATAGTTTAGGTGGAAAATCGATCCAATCAACTTTGATTTTCCGATGTAATATGAGATACTCTACATTCCTAAATTGTAACCTGCTACAAATTAATTACTTTAAGGAGTGATCGTCTTGATGAATCCACAATACTGTAATATTTTAGGTTATCTGAACCAGTGATCTGTTCGAGTTCACTAACCGAATATTGTGTTGTTGATTGAGTATCTATAAAAACAGAAGTCAACAGGATTGCATCGGACGTTAGATACTCCACAGGTGGTGAAGGATCATCATACATCAAAGTCAAGAAGTGTTCAGTGTCAGTTCTGTGCGAAATTGTCTAGTCGGTGTTTGAAAGTTTTTATAATACGGTATTCTCAGGATATTGGGAGATATTGCAAGAGGAATAGGGGATATGATCTTTGAAATGAATATACAACAGAGGCAATAAACACAATCATTAGATGCTATAGTATTTGAAAAGACTAATGAACTAATCATTAAACTAATTGAAAACGAGATTCACAACGAATTAGATCTACCTTATCTAATTTATAATGCATAAACAGTGAGAAACCATCGAATAGATAATCATGTTCATTATGAGTAATTTTCGATGGGTTTGGTTGAACAAAATTAGTTGTCGGTGATATAATCACACGATAATGATAAAGACGATCATGATTATTTGATTCTGGAATACATAGCGGAATGGGCTGAAAAAATAGACAGATAAATATTAAAAATAACTAAATGTTAATTTATGATATTGATTTATGTTTGTTAAAATACAAAACAATAAAAAGACATTTAAGAGTTATATTTAAATGTTATCTACTTGTTGATATTCAAGACTGAATACCATTACTGATCAAAGTTATTATGGAAATATGTACATCATAAGAAAATGCCTTGATATTTCCTTAAGAGTACTTTGGTAAATTTAGATTATGGCTTTCTTAGAGGAATCTAGGACACGAGTTTCGTCACTAGCTGGATATACCTGTCACATTCCAGTATGTGTTCAGGAAGGGACTCCAACCCAGTACCTATAACTTTAAACGATGTCATCGTCCACTAAGCTACTAAGTCGAGAGGTTATTAGGTAATAACAAATATGTTTATTTGTTGATATTTAGAAATAAATACTGATCAGTTTCTGTTAGTGTATTTGAATTCTGAAATAGAGTTTTTTTCTGAAATAACTGGATAATTATAGTATTTCGAGAGTTTATACTTAGATTAATTTTAATTGATAATGTAATTGGACGAATCAAGAACAACCATACTTTGCGTGTGTGAGCGGGAGATAGCTATTAATACTAGTCAAATGGATGAACCAAAGTGATCGAAGTGAAGTTTGAACCTACAAACCAGTAGGATTCAAAGTCAAATGTAAGGAGAATAAAAGTAAATTATTTACAAACTATAGGTGATTTTACTGGGCATTGATCAATAACTATTTAAGGGTTAGTGCTGATATACTACTATTCAACTTCCTAAACTGAGTACATTTCGCAAAATTAGAGACTAATAAGTTGACCCACTTTGAATAGTGCAATCACCTCTAATCTACTCAATAGTGAGTACGACACTGATATTTCGAAATCATCGCGGAGTCAATCAAGACTAAAAGAACCAAACAGTCATGATATTGGTCAATACTCAGTAATAAATCATTTGTAAAATCCTTTAAAAATAATTAGTGAGAACTTTGAATTTATTGTATTTCAGCTAAACTATTGCTGTCAAAAGGCTTAAACTGGACTTGTGCATTCGAAAGGATACTGTTGTCAGTTTAGCATTGCCCTAGTGACCTCAGTTCCCAACACCCATTGAGATCATGAACGGATTAATGCTAGATCATCACTGGAAACCTGGAAGTATTAGAGGCCGCTTAGTTCCAGTGTGGGATACCTTAGAAATACCCATCCACGGTCCCGCACGTGAGACTCGAACTAAGGACCTTCAGTCCCGCTCGAACGCTTAACATCTAGACCACTGAGCAGACAACCAGCGGTGTTACTATCTAACCTAACACTTAGTTGGGTAGCTGTTGAGTCTTGCTGATTTGGACGCTATATTCGTTCCTAAGCTATTCTGATAACCCACACGCTAGAACTATACAACGACCTGAACACCAGAAAGAAGACGCAAAGTACGAAAGAAACACTTTACTCCAAGGTTCGTTTTTGTACAGAAAACATGGGTATTTATAGATGTTAGCGTTTGTTAAATCAACATCATATTTCGACCAATCCGTTAACGACACATTATGCTACTGACCAATAGTAGCACACCACGTTGGAATTCTAGAATGCTCCGTCGTGCTCTGATTGGCTAGGACTCTTCGGTACCTTTTGGGCCTCTGGAGGCTCCGTTGAAGTTCTCAGAAAGCCGGCTCAACAGTAGCTTCTCATGTTTGGGTCTCAGTAATAAGTTTATTTTCTTCATTCGTGTGTCTTATCCCGGACCTACTCACTATTCCTCTAATCAAACCTTTTTTGTAATGGTTGCTGCGTAATTTTTAAAGTTATTTTTTCCTGTGAAATGTTACCATGCATTTTCTTCGACAATATTCACATTATTCTTTCTGAAATCATAGTATAAATTATGTACACCGTTTGTAGATCATCAATACAACTATTCCTAGGTTGTAAGTAGTCGAGAATTTACGAAGTTAATGAATTCATATTATTCTACAGAGATCGTTGTTATTATCTTATTCGAATTTATAAATGGGAAAAATTGTCTGAAGATGACGTAAAATTTAGTCATGGGCAACTGCTTCATTAGAATTCAATCAACAATAAACAAAGTAGTGCAATCTGGAAAAAAACTCTAATCAGTCAAGGTTCCTACATTTCATCGCATCAAACAGAAGAGTTAAAAAAATCAAGGCAAGATAGTCAGAAATGACAAATTAAGAAACAAAGACCTAGTGATGGTTTTGTGGTCTTTAATATTCATCCTTGGCGACTGATTTTTCAATTAACTCATTTAGAACGTACAGATTCATGCAAATGGTATTGACGGCTAGTGATACTATCCGGTTACCAGAACTGAAGTAGGTGGGATGGGGTACAAACCTTTGAATTAGTGGTTGAAAGTCGAAATCTCTAACCAATGAACTCGCCCTTTAGTGATTCCTTACTACTGGACGATTACTATTATTCTTGGTCGTAAATTCGGAAAAAAACAAGACAATTATTACATGGACAGTAAAATATATATGGCCCTTCCCAATACAACAAAAATATGACAGACATTTATGATCTATATCATTATGATTAGTATAACCGTATAGTACAAAAAAAATTATATTAACATTACCTGTTCACCTTCGTATTGATTGTGTAATGGTCCAATACGATATTTCGGTTTACAAGAACAAGCTGGACCATCATTGAACTCGTTAGCTTCATTATGCCAAATATCAGGATGTAAACGATTAGGATGTTCAATTTTATAAGCGACTTCACGTTGTTGCCTTATACTACGTTGACCTATGGAATGGCCACTGACAGTGTGATAATCAGAATTTGAAATGCTATTATTACTCGTGTTATTAATACTATTATTAGATGCACAAATAGATTCATAATTATTGACTTTATGTTTACGTAAATGATGATGAGAGTTAGATGATGATGATTTTGAATGTTTTGTATGATCGATGGATAAGTTCTGTAATTTAAAGCAATATAAAAAACAATCATTAGCATGGAATCGAGTAAAGTGTGTTTTTGTAAAAGAGATGAGATATGTACTGAAAGAAGTTACCAGTACGTCAGTTATTTTATTTCAACTTACTACTACGCCAGGAAACACACCGCGTCACAGTTGAGAATGGCTGGGGACACATGATGCATGTTCTAACCAAACCACCACAACCAGTAACTGAGAGATCCCGGTTTTTATATGAAGCCTTTATCATCAATCAAGATAAGTCATATTGAGGATGAGACACTTATTACAGATAAGAATGGATGATGATTGAGGTTTATCGAAAATCGACTGCAGTTTCAAATGTAAGCCATTAGAATCGCACTCATTAGTGTAGAGGTATTTTCCTTACTGAGTGTCCTGGAATCATGTCTAAATTTGAAATACAGAGAAGCAATCTTGAACCACAAAAAATTTGCTATCCAATGTTTCCTGGTTTAATATTGACAGTCTCTGACGAGAACTAGCCATGATGATTAACCTTATTGTTGGGTTCTGTGATACATAGGATGCCGACCAATTAAAATGCACCATAGATGTCGTGTCGATACTCATAAACTTATAAACTTTGAGCAGTACTGTTAGTGAGAAGGGCAGTAATACTATAATCCATCTATAAGAACCGAAATAAATGAAGAATAGTTTAAATTAATGACCTAATAGATGAAACACGGATTCTTTAACTATTGAATGCCACCAATCCATTTACTTGAATAATTCGATTGCATGTAAACATCTTTAAGCCTTATCATTTTCAGTCTAAACCATTGCTGACGAATAGGATGCGAGCATCAAATGTATATATTATTATTTACAAAATAACATCAGCAATGATAAAAAATATCAATAAGTATTATAACAATCAATTAAGAATACCTTATTTCTAGATTCAGTCGATAAACAAGCATCTTTTGAAGTTTCTGCGTTATCACCGATAGCCGCCAAGTATCCATCATCATTATCGGAATTATTGTCAAACATTGAATTCACTGTATCACATTTGTGGGTCGACTTTTTCGAACGATGAAGATGTGAAGCACGGGAATTACGTCGATGCTCTGTTAATAAATAAATAGATAATAAATAGATGTGTATAATTAACCAACTGACCAGATGAAATAGATACTATGCCATCTAAACTCATCTTGACCAAGTTTACCACAGTTTACTTCATAACAATTTACGTAACTATAGAATTGATGCAATGAGATTGTGAAGTAACTGTGTAATTAATTCGCACCGATCGCTATTGTAAAGGAAGGTAATATGCAGAAGGAATTTATATTTATTGTGAGAAGTTACAGACCATTTACATTATACGTATACATAGCCTTCACTCGTCCTTTTACATCTTTCGGTGTATTCTGGAATCTGAACAATTTTATCATCTGGTCTCCAAGTGTTCTGCTAACGCTGTGCTTTCAATGTACTGAAGCTCTTTACTCCGTCAACAACTTTGAGGCAACGTTCCGCAAGACACTACTTACAAGCAGCTTTGTGAGTAGCGTCCACTACACTACGACTCCCCATTTTGTTTTAAACAATAGGATCAACTGAAATTCACAAACAAATACGGATTTATACACTAGAATAAGATTGCCAGACTTTTATAAGTCTTGTTTTATAACTTCTCAAGACACTGAGTTTTACGATCCCTAGAACTCTATTCGAGGTGTTTTGATGAGCTACATTTGATGGGGGAGGGGTAAAGTTACACTCAAAGCGGCATGTCCATTCAGTACAACAAAAGATAGGTTTCTATACTTTCATTCAAATAGCACCTATGGTTTTTGAAAGTCGATAACTAGCTATTCAAGCAGAAGTAGAAGGGGGCGAAACACTGCATCAATTATTGAAAATCGGCCGCTCAGACAAATAGACGATATTATTTTAGAATATATACTCTAAGAATTATTTATCTGTTAGGTCGTTAGCAGAGACCACACAAGAGAACTCTTAACACATTTTTTGTGTCAGTGTTTGTTAATAGTGTTCCAAGAAGCTAGAATTACAAGCCACTGGACTGCATAACCCTTAAGATCCCACCCGAAAAGTAACAACAGATCGGAAAATCCCAACCATATATAGCTATATTTCATTCCGTGGGATTATACAACAAACTAACTGTATTTCCCGCCTAATCCCGTTCACATTTAGATTTAATAAAACTGTATTACTTAACCCCACCCATTTAATATTAACTAAGGCACCTAACGGTGCTGTTCCATCTAGTCTATTGAGAAAAATTATCTTACTTTAGACTTCAAAATTGTACTGATTATCGTCGAGAAACTATTTCTTGAAAATAATTGTGATATAATGGAATGAATAGTGAAGAAATATAACTTTTGAGGCTAATATACGAGGAATAAATATTTATATTTTTATTGTATGATTGTCGAATGTTTAGACTGCTGCATTTTCTTTAATTTCCCTGGTTCTAAGCTTTCGTTTGATTTATAAATCTTTGCCATGTCTTACTACTCCAGATTTACCATTACTTGGTTATTTCTCTATTACTCTAGTCATGTATCACTTATGACCAAGTTATTTACGAATCGTAATTTGCTAATCGTGTTGCTATATAGTCAGAGATTTCAGGTATATTGTTTGAGTTTTGAATTATAATTTGATTAAGTACAATGGCAAAATGATTTGCCTTCTGTCTTCCTCTTCTAATTGGACACCAGGTTGGACACAACTTGAGGAACAATAAACGTTAAGATTTTGGCTTTTGTTTGTTGATCGCTGTTAATCAAAAAATAAGACGTTCACCGGTCCTACTGGTATTATAGATGAACTAATCGATAATCGGACTAGGGAGATAGATCATAGTACTGCTTTTCTATTATTTTTGGCTCGATTACGTGGGACCCAATAAAACTTGCACACTCAATTTGTTTCTTCAGAAACAATTTACTTTGTTCTGTTTAACTGGAGCTATGCCATAAACAAAAGAGTAGAGTTTACTACTACTCACCAGTATCCGACAATGCAGGACGTTCAGGAGGCTGTCTTACTGGATCATTTAAAGTAGCGCGATGACGTCGAGCAATCACCTCATTTTCAAATCGATCTTCCAAATCAATAAGTTGACGTGTAGCTACATACGATCCAGTCTATTTGAAAATAAAAGAAAGCAATAGTCCAAGCATAATAAGTGTTCGGTAGTCAGTGGGCATAGCATATTTCTTTATATATTAACGAACTGATTTGGAAAGGTTAATTTATTTAAATGACATTGTTTTTCTACACACTCAAATTATTTATCTGACGTATAAATCAGTGATTTGATGATTAAAACACTTAATTTTTAACCAACAAGTAGCAGGTCCGCACCCCACAACAACTACTCAAATTCGTACAGATATGTAGTAGTAGTAGTAGTAGTAGTATTAGCGTTAGTACTAGTATTGTGGTGCGTGCTATTTATGTTGATATAAGTAGTATATTATGCGAGTCAGGAATGTAATGTCTGGCAGCAGACGATGAGGGAAGATCAAGAAAGCAAAAGCGGGAATAGAATGCAATTTGTATGAAAATGTAAGAACAATGAAGTCTGAGGCATTTTGAGACAACTGGTGGACATTTTGCAAATTAACGATTTGATACATAGTTCTCAGATTTTTCAGGTTGAAATCATGAGTCAGTTGAAGCAAGACCACCATTGAAAACCTGGAAGCACTGGACGGCCGTTTCGTCCTGGTATGGGACTCCTCAGCAGTGCGCATCCACGATCCCGCACCACACGGGGCTCGAACACAGGACCTACTGGCTTCGCGCGCGAGCACTTAACCACTAGACCACTGAGCCGGCGTCCAACGGTGTTAATGTCTGACTTCAACCAATCCACGAAGTTGCGCCACCGTACACCATTGTCTTCAGTGAGTTATTATCTCACAACAGACCGATTGAACTCCACTGGCAACGGCTTCTCACTAGAACTCCAGAAGTTTTTCCTGAAGTCAGTCACTAGTGAGCAGTTGATTTTTATCAGAATGGGTTTTGTGGAGAGTTTTAGAAATTTCACAGGTTGAAATCAAGTGGTTAAGTGCTCGCGCGCGAAGCCAGTAGGTCCTGGGTTCGAGCCCCGTGTGGTGCGGGATCGTGGATGCGCACTGCTGAGGAGTCCCATACCAGGACGAAACGGCCGTCCAGTGCTCCCAGGTTTTCAATGGTGGTCTAGCTTCAACTGACTTATGATTTCAACCTGTGAAATTTCTAAAACTCTCCACAAAACCCATTCTGATAATTCTCAGATTTTATTGACATGCCCTGTAATTTTGTGTAAAATACATTCCGTTGTCCTCACCTGTGTCCACCTTCACTACAGTATTAGTAGTGTTAGTAGTAGCAGTAACAGTACCAATAACCCTAATACAAACGGTGGCTCAAAGTCGAGTAAATAAATCCGTACTTGAAAGCGTAGATACCATGGGTGTTATTAATATACACAACAATACGAGATATTCCCCTAATGTATATATGTGAGTATGAACGTTCATGATGTTACTCGCACGGGCTTTTTTTATTAACTAATGGAATTCTTTTTCTAGTTGAGGTATTGAACGTAATGAAGAATTAGTTATTGAAAGTGTTGATAAGAAATTAATTGATCATCATATTAGATCAGACAGATCTTGATATGATGGTTTAGAATTAGGTCAAACAGTCAGGACTTAATACATTAGAGAGTAAGTGACCTACCAGCTGAGTTTATTCAATCGCCTATAACATTTTACCATGTCGTTTTTTTGTGTTAATATTTTTTACATAAGCATATCACTTTGCTACACAAAGGAAACCTATACTTCTGGTAAGTGGTCTTGATTTTTATCTAAAATCATTCTGGGGGCTTACACCAATAATTAAGTCGTGTAAGTAACCATAACTCAGAAACACCGTATCGTGACATACCAAATCTCGGACACCACTCTACTCATCGATTTTGATAAGCGAAAATCCTTCAATCGAACCATAATATCCCGCCCTATAATAGATCCATTTATTTCGTTTTAAATTATAAACATATCATTTTATGCCTGAATGTATTATTGTCGATACTTATGGTTCCTTTTGCTTCAAACGTAAAATATGTGGAAAAAATAATCTAATACACATGCTATCGGATAACAGACTTATTTTTCAGTAGAATAGTCAGAGATAATATAAAAATCGTCTCGTATGTGGAACATTTGAATCATTGTATGAAAATAAGCACCACACCTATTTTGTACTGTTAGACTGTCAAGAGATTTTACAAGGCTAAGAAGAGCCGTCATATATACTAGTTCTATCGCAGTAAGGAGCTGGAAATACTCAATATGTTTATGTATTTAAGCAGCTCAGATGAAGTGAAAGATGAATTTTACAGAAAGCTATCTGAACTTCTTCAGAAAGCTAAACGTTCAGACATAGTGCTCGTAGCAGGTTACTTTAATGCCCAGATAGGTAGTTTAAACTAAACAGAAAGGCATTTAGGTGGGTATTTTAGTATTTCGGCACAACGAACAGATAATGGTGATCGTCTGCTACAACTGTGCTCATACAATCGTTTATTTTTAGCAGACACACAAAGAAGTACATTAACCTTATAAAGGCTCTCTACTCGAACACAACTGGTAGAGTGAGAGCTTATGGTGAACTGTCATCAGAATTGATTACCTCAAGTGGTGTTCGTCAGGGCTGTCTACTCTCCCCATTCTTGTTCAACTTTGTCATTGATGTACTTTTAGAGATAACACTCTCCTCATCTAAATTTCCAGGGGTTGAACTTCTACCGGGAGGTTTACTTGTTGACTTAGAATATGCTGATGACATAGTTTTATTTGGTGAAGACGCTGACAAAATGCAGAGTCTTCTGACCACTCTAAGCAACAATGCAAGCATGTTCGGGATGCGATTCTCTCCCTCGAAATGCAAAATGTTGCTTCAAGATTGGGTTACATCGACACCCGAACTAGTGATAGGGAGTGAAGTAGTTGAGTGTGTCGACCGCTTCACTTATCTTGGAAGTCTCATCAGCCCTTGTAGTCTGGTGTGTGACGAAATCTCAGCACGGATACAGAAGGCCCGATTGGCTTTTGCCAACTTGCGTCATTTATGGCGTGGGCGAGATATCTGTCTATCAACCAAAGGACGTGTTTACTGCGCAGCAGTTCGTCCCGTCCTACTTTATGGCAGTGAAACATGGCCGGTAAGAGTAGAGGATATTCGTAGGTTACTAGTATTTGATCATAGGTGTCTTCGAAACATTGCTCGTATATCATGGGACCATCGAGTAAGTAACACAGTTGTTAGGAAACGGGTACTAGGTAAGGATGGCAAATCAATTGATGAAGTAGTGAAACTTCATCAGTTGAGATGGCTGGGACACGTGTTACGTATGCCCAACGACCGACTGCCTCGACGTGCGATGTTCAGTGGTAGGTTGGAAGGTTGGAAGAAAGCTATGGGCGGCCAGACCAAAACATGGCACAAGTCCACGAAGTCACTGACAAGTGGACTGAGTCATGTTGGTAGGTGTAGACTACCTGGTTGAGGACCACGAGATGATAGCAGCCGATGGTTAGAGACCCTGAATGACATGGCTGAAAATCGTTTGCAATGGCGCAGGTGCATACACTCTTTGTGTTCTCCCGAATTCTAATCTTCTGAATTCTTCATGTCCCTTTTTTCCACTTTCTAAATTTATTTCACTGGATTATACTCTCTAAATAACTTCTCCAAACCTTAATGTTTCCGATTAATGCTTATACTCTTATTACCTCTACCACTACGGGATTTGAATCGACAACCGCATCTCTGTGCTAATGTGGTATGGCAACTCGAACTGATGTACGTACGTACGAAGTTCTACGTTGTTACTGACTGACTGAGACGCAAATTTCGACCATAAGGAGAGACATCGTCTAACATGGCGACCCCCTACACCAAACCAACGATGGACTCAAATAGACCATATTGCCATCAGTCATCGTTGGAGAGGGTCGATAGAAGATTGTCACTCATTCTGGAGTACCTGTTTGAACTCCGACCATGCTCTAATACGGGCACGCATCTGCTTGTGCCTCACTGGACGCAGAAAAAGCACACTCAGAAGACCTATTAGAACTTAAATGAGTAACGAGAAAACCAAAAGTAGGTAGGGGTCACACTTAGGTAATTCTGAAAACGAGGCTGACCCAGATATTGCTTAGATATATACAAGTAGCTGTGGAAACAGCAGTGACATCTATCAGTGATTTAAACCACAGGGTTACAAAGAACCAATGGATTTCCTCAAGTTCTATTGCACTGATGGATTCTCGTAAACTCATCCCATCAGGCTTTGAACACGATGAAGAGCGTCAACAAATCAGATCTCGGTTAACCAAAAGTCTAAGGAACGACCGTGAGCAGTGGTGGGCAACGAAAGCAAAAGAGACGGAAAAGGCGGAGGCTATAGGGAACACAAGATAGCTCTACAGATTAATAAAAAAAACTGGAATTAATAAGTCAAGTGTAAGTCAGACTATTTCGGAAAAAAGACGACACTCATCTGCTCCCAGTCCAGACGTTTAGAACAGTTCAGCTAGCCTCCAGCTACTCTACAACTACCCTCCATTCCCAGACAGTGTGAATGGAACATTGAAGTAGGTCCCCCAACTCTAGCAGAAGTTCAAAAGACTACAGTTAATCTGAAACGAGGAAAGGCAGCTGGTCCAGAGGGATTGGTTCCAGAGGTCTTTAAGGATGGTGGTCCAATTTTAGCGATTAGGTTGACTAATATTTTGGCTAAGATCTGGGAGTTAGACGTTATTCCATCTGACTGGTCACAATCACTTATCGTCACAATATATAAGGTAGGGTTAAAATCATCCTGTGACAACCATAGAGGGATGAGTTTAACTAATATAATATCTAAAATACTAGCCTCGATAACTATCAGACGCTTAACTAAGACTCGTGAACTGCAAACACGAGAGAATCAAGCTGGCTTAAGACCTGATCGTGGCTGCGTCGACCACATATTCACCATTCGTCAAGTTCTAGAACAAAGGCATACTTATCGGCGTCCGACAATGGTGGTCTTTCTTGACTTGAAAGCAGCATTTGACTCGGTAGACCGCGAGATTCTGTGGCAGTGTCTGTCATTGAAAGGCTTACCTCAGAAGTACATAAACCATATAAAGGCTCTTTACTCGAACACCACCAATAGAGTCAGAGCTTATGGCGAACCACTTATCGACTTAGAATACGCAGATGACATAGTCCTGTTTGGTGAAGACGCTGATAAAATGCAGAGTCTTTTGGTAGCACTAAGCAACAATGCCAGAATGTTTGGAATGCACTTCTTTCCATCTAAATGCAAGTTGTTGCTTCAGGACTGGTCTGTGTCAACACCTGAACTAAGGATAGAGAGTGAAGTAGTCGGACGCGTTGACAACTTCACTTATCTTGGAAGTCTGATCAGCCCTAATGGATTGGTGTCTGACGAAATCTCAGCACGGATTCGAAAAGCTCGCTTGGCTTTTGCCAACTTACGTCACCTATGGCGAAGGCGAGATATCCATCTATCAATAAAAGGACGAGTATACTGCGCGGCAGTCCGTTCTGTTTTAAATTACGGCAGCGAAACACAACCATTAAGAGTAGAAGACACTCGTAAGCTACTAGTATTTGACCACAGATGCCTTAGAAATATTGCTGGCATCTGCTGGGATCACCTGGTAAGTAATAGTTAGGTTAGACTCAAGGTATTAGGGGATGATGGTAAATCAGCTGATGAGGTTGTGAATATTCATCGACTGAGATGGTTGGGCCACGTGTTACGTACGCCTGAACAACGATTACCACGACGTGCAATGCTAACCGGTGTTGGAGATGGCTGGAAGAAAGTTAGGGGCGGCCAAACCAAAACGTGGCATCAGTGCTTGAAGTCACTAACTTCTAATCTGAGCCATGTTGGTAGATGCAGACTACTTGGTTGGGGTCCGCGTGACTATCGTAACCAATGGTTGGAGACTCTTGGTGACATGGCTCAGAATCGATCACAATGGCGTCGGTGTATACACTCCCTGTCTTCCCTTAAACTAAGAGATTAAAATCGCTTCATACCTTTCTTTCTACGAACCAATTTTTTCTTCTTGTACTATATCTCTATATGCAATCTTTCTCTTATATATTACCACCTTTGACATAACCACTGCTATGAATCCGGTGTTCATCTTGTTGTGTTAATGAGGTATGGCAACTTGGACCGATGCATATATGCACTTGGTCCTACGTTGTAGCTGACTGACTGACTGATTTAAGTTGTTGTGTGATTGTTGGTGGAGGCGTGATAGATAAGATTATTCCAAGTAAATTACAAACCAAAAGTCGTTTATGTCACTCTAGGTCATCTTCTATACATTTTTGATATTAGTTTGACCAATAAAAGATCGGGTGCTCAACACTATCGTAAAGGTAGTACTGATACATACATGTAAAACCGAGGCCTTCAAGTTAAGAATGCTAGAAAACCATATGAATGCTATCACAGTTATCTATGAAGAATAATCCTTCTGTTCGGTAACAACACCGTGGACGTAATATTGAGGTTCGACAGTGAAAATGATGACTAAATAAGAAAAATTAACTTTAGTAATGTAAGAGTGTCCTACGTATGTCATCTCAGTGTCTTTTATACCGCACATTAATTTCTAATGCTGGAAATATGTAAAACAGAGCGAAAATAGAAAGTCTGTAATATGGTTCTATAGATTAAAGGATAGTTGTGTTAGTGACTGTTACCTCATTACGACTCCATGGTTAGGATTTAGGCGGTCACATGATTCACTGGCTTCAGATTTTATCAAACATAACTAAAAACAAAAACCAATACCTATCTTTTGCCAATTTTTCACTAGATTTCTTATAAATCGTATGACTTGAGGCGATGACTTAGTGGTGAAGGTGTTCAATTTGTAGCCACTATGTCCCAGGTTCGGGCGTCGTTCCACTTCGATTTCGGCAACCGGGTAGTAACATTAACCCTAAAACTTGGAATGTGATTCATACTCAAGTATCCAGTGAATGAGTCAATTTACTTTTTATTGGTTTAGAATAGGATGATGCATCTTGTAAATGAGCGTAATCTATCTTCGTTGTACACTAATTTGAACAGCCTGCTTTAACACATTTTATTCTTGCTTATTATATCATATGCTTTCCTCTTCTATTTCTTTCCGATATGATCAATTAACTTTAAATGATGTCTATCTTGATGCTCTATTATACAAAGCATCGTTTCGTCTCAGACGAGATAGAAAACTTAGGACATAATTATACTCAGCGTAAGCCAACGAAACAGATCCTCATTACGATGTATGATAAAACGTCTCGAAAAATCGTGTTTTGAACGTGATACTCATATTTCTCAATTAGTCAGTCCCAGCGTCTTAGATGTAGGGTTACTATTGAGCTTAGAGGTGAATGAATAAACTTGTTTGAAGTGAAGTTGAATTACGCAGTAAATGAACGCAAACTTCAGACAAAACAGTATCCAATACATTCTGCTACAGGGAATCTACCTATCATCTAATAGACAACACAGTTACAGATGAAAAGTTGAGTTATTCAGGTTATAACCTTTTGATTTTCCTTTAGTTATGTAATATACATCATGCAATTTTTACTGCAGAAATGATGATAAACATCAATAGCTAAATAATAATTTCTCTTAACAAAATGTGTTTGAAAATTGGAAAGAACATGATTTCCATCAGGAGAGACTAGTTTTTATTTATTTGAACACAAATACTGGTATAAAGGGACATCATATGTATATAGGTACATGACAAGGTACGTGACAAAAGGAAGCACGAGAACTAGATTTGAGACTATACAGGTTACCTTTAAATATACAGCGTATACTTCAGAACATTGCACTATTATGCTACACATTCAAGTAAACATATTGAGTTATTTGTTTATTGAAATTCGTACGACACAAAGGATTTAAAAACGGCATTGCTCATCTTTTAGTGACTAATTTATAAAACAACAGTATGTATTACCACGAAAATGAGCATGAAAAATGCATGCTACTTGACAATTTACTGTCTTACTAAGGAATAAAAAAATTACTTACACTACTGTCAAAAGCAAAGTAATCAAGTTCCGAAGCGTAGATCAGTTTGGTATATCGTAGAGGATGCGATTGTTTTGATGACGTTGATTCACTTTTAGAGTTATTCGGTTCTGAAAATCTGTTGAAAGACAAGAATGTAGAAGACAAAGAAAAATTTAGGAAAAAAGTCAAGTAACTTTTTAACTGGTATTTCAGAAAGTAGTTGAACAACTTACAAAACTCTCAAAATGTGAGCGTGAAAATGAAATATTACTATGTTTTTGATTTTATTTTGACAAAATAAAAATGAATAATTCTTAATAGTAGCTAATTACAATATACTGGAAGACGTTTTGTTCTTAAATAGCACTAATCATGACATTTTGCCTTCCAGATTAAGGAATAAAGCATATTAATCTCGTAAAGCCGCGAGAAATAGATTATGACCCCCATACTTTTAATAGACCCCAAATGCCCCGGTACAGTCGAGGGTGGGTAGGGTTAGCTCTAGCTCTCGAAATACTCTTACATGGCTACGTGTATACAGCTACTTCCAGATAAGTATTACTCACTGCCTTTTCGTGGCGGTGTCATTTACGAAAGTGAGAGGACGAAAAGCGAATGTCTAGCGCTTTAACTGGGTTCATGAACACGGAGGGTTTACCTAAGGGAGTTGGGAAACCCTCATTCCAAACCAATGGTGCACACGGCCTGGCTCCAGTATCCTGAGAGAACAAATGGAGTAAGAACCAATCATTAGTCACCGGCCACCATGGGAATGCATCTCCTGACGTTGCTCCACTGGCTTGTGAACCAAATCCTAAAGTCGAAGGCTCTGGGTGTGGCCCCCTGAGAGAGCTACCTGCTTCGGTCTGGGCGCCCGGGCATCATCACAGCACACACAAACCAAGTGACTTGTGTAGCGCACATGTATTCGGCGCTCCTTTGTATCAATATTTGTGTTCAAATAAAATAAATAAGTCATTAGTGATACTACCAGACTGCATAAAATAAAATAGGACGGGAATGTTTCGAAATAGTTAGAAGTATATATGACTGAGTTACAATCCAGTTTCTCTTCTTACAATATTGAGAGACAAATCTCACTTATGATTTTATCTTACGTCAACAAAAGAGCACCAGGTTAAATAGGCAATAGGTTTTGGAGAAAGGGTTGTCATATATAACTAAGCCAAGTAAATAACTAGTCATTTGTTTGGTAATATCTAGTAGCATAGTAAAATTTTTATTTAAAATAAGATAGATGCGCATACCCATTTTCTTCGTTTGATCGATTGAATGAACAAGAATGTTTGGTATTGTTGGTATTCATAGTACTCGCGACACATGTAACGGTATTATTAATAGTAACATCTGCAGCAGAATTATGAATGAGAACGGCGTTGCTGGACTTCGAAGTTACCTGAGGTAAACTGAAAGACGGAGGTGGTTTGTGCGGATTGAATGTTTGAAAGAATGAATTTGGTGGGACATTCGGTATGAAAGTAGGTAGATTTTGGTAGGGGTGAATGTACTGAGCAGATTCTGGGAATAAATTGGTACTTGGTGGATATAAAGTGTGGTTTGGGAAAGCAGGTGCTACCCATGAAACTGGTTGTGAACCGACAAAAGGTGGAAGTTGAAAAGGAGGGCAGAATCCATAAGGAAGAATTAAGTTTGTTGAAACCACAGGGGTAGGATATGGAATGTTAGCATGATAAGGGAATGAATATGGAACTAATGTGTTATTAAAATAATTTGAACTGTTGGTAGATGAAGTTGAAGTCGAACCAAACGTTGAACAAGTGATCGAAGATGAATCCTGGCTAGATGCACCAAGTTCAGTTGAACTACAACTTGCTGAATGGTTGACTTCTGGGTTTTCTGCAGCTGATAGTACATAAATCGGTCCATCTGTTGGCAGACTGGAAAGCTCTTTAGGAGAGATGTAAACAATTCTTTTATCAGTCGGAAAACGACTTTCAGTCATCTAGAATTTGAAATACCATAAAACTATAAGGATTCCTGATATCGTAAGCTCCTGTTTGTTATTTAGACAGAAAGCTCGAAACCAATACTTACTACACAACACCAATAAAATGGAGCAAAACCAATCGACTGAAACTTGATTTCAGTTTATCATATAAAAAAAATATGTACTACACTTAATAAAAGAAGAGTAGGAGATAAACAAATAAAACAAGCGGTTTGTGCATCTCTGTTAGTTTGTTTCCAGAGAAAACAAAATAAATATTGCCGAGCCACAAATGAGTCGGTTTTCTTAATTAAACCTGATTATTTCGAACCAGATATCTGTAACACTTTTTACCCAACCAGTCATGATGCATCAGACCTCAATCTAACATGAATATTCACCACTTGGAGTTGACCCCTACAAATTTCGCGCTCTCCCAATCGGCAATGTATTTTATAGCTACTAGAAAACAGGGCTTTGATACACTATTAACCTTGTCAAAAACTACCGACGACTTCGAACCCCAGTTGAGTGTGAGTGTCGAAAACCTAGAGTACAAATTTCAAACAAAATATACTTAATGAAGAATAGGAGTGATCAGTTTCAAAATGCCAAATAACGGCGATAATTAAGTTGGGAATCTTACTATCGTAAGATTTGGTAGATATAACTGGCCTTAACGTCATGAGTTTGGTAGTTAATAGGTAAACATTGATAGTTCACGATATGATGCTGATCCAATATAATAAAACACATAGCAACTATTGAAAACATCAATAAAAGTTAATTTTTAGTACCAACATCTTAAAGGCTGGTTAAGTCAATATGTGTGTAAGAGCGTACTAGATTGTCACAACAAAGCTGCCCTAAAATCGTAGAATGGACACAAGAAATAATTATTACATCACTGAGAGCAGGCCGATAAGAAATCGAATACGTCGTACTAAACACCTGACTGAAAAACAAGCAGTAAACTCGCCTTTTGAAAGAACGCCAACAGCTCGAAATCGAGGCACTAATTCAAATATGTACAGTATCCAATATCTTAGCACGAGCTTGTATAGAATAATTGTTTTCTTTGCTCTCGCTTCTTGTTGTTTTGGTATCGTTCCAGGTATATGGTAGTGTCCAGTAGGCAGTTGGTTCGATATTTGACTGGACTTATCCTGGTGATAGTTATTTATGGATTTGTATATCTTATGGTAGTGTGAGTAGGTTTGTCTCAAGATAGTAGGGATTCTGAATACTATGAGATATCACATTACCAGGCAGGAGGTTGGTTCGTTGTAATATGGAAACAGCAAAGTGATAACTAGGGTACTAAGAGATTATTGTTTCAAGACTAAATAATTAATTTACTTAATTGATAATTTGTATGAATGAAGCAGAGTTCATCGTAGCATGCGGACATGACTAAAATGTTCTTTTAGTCCACCATTGCCCAGTGACCTTGACTGGTAGGTCGGATAACTCTAGTCGATAGGTCCAATCATTTGACCAGTACAAGCCACCTAAATCGGATACTTTTTAGAGGAGCCTTGGCAAACATGTACTGGCCTGTAGATTGCCACCCCCTCTTGGACTAGCTATGTCTGGTGCATATCTGATAAATTACCACGGCTATCATTAGCTCATAACCAGTAGCTACTTCTTATCTCCTTTATCATAATCTCCGTTCTCCTTCAATCGCTTTGACTGCGTCTTTTTACAAATTATCAATCAAGTAAACTAATTATTTAGTCTTGAAACAATAATCTCTTAGTATACTAGTTATCAATTTACTGTTTCCATGTTATAACGAACCAAACTCCTGCCTGGTAATGTGATACTCGCTCAACCATAAGATTATATCAATGATTTTCGTACTGAGAATTAACTTTCATTGATGTTTTCAATAGTTGCTATGTGCTTTATTATATTGGATCAGCATCATATCGTGAACTATCAATGTTTACCTATTAACTACCAAACTCATGACGTTGTAGCGTGGCGTCGAGTGGAGATTAACTGTGAACACCGCTACCAGGAAACACGTGCCAAATAAATCAGAAGGCGAGGGTTGAATGTAACCAGATTTATTTCGTTGGCGATCCCGTGGTATTGAACGAATACCGAGATCGTGCCAAGAAGAGGTACAAGCGAAAGCAGAAGACAGGAGTACGTGCGAACAGTACCAAAAACCGCGGAACAATGATGGAAGGTAATGGAAGCACAAAATGGCTATAATTAGCACAGTTAAACAAAAGCACATTAAAACAAACACTGGTACAGTTGGTTATAATAATAATTGTTTTTATTAAACCAGTCGTGTTCTCGTGATAAACGTGAGTCACTACAGGAGCCCCCCGCTAGAAAGGGTTTACACTTTCGATAAATAGCGGTTTGAATCGTGGGACTGATCGGCTGACGAGCGATTGTAGGACGGAAGAATTGGCGAACAGGAAAGCGATCGTTGATCGTCGAGTTGCCAACGAAGGTCGTTATCGGAGAACGGTACCAGGAGCGATGTGTTGTATTTATTGCTTGAGTTGGCATGCTACACCAGAGTGGTTTGTATCCAGAATCTGAAGAGGGCGTTCGTAAAGGTGCGCACCAGAAACGCTGCAGACGTAGGACGAAACCACGTTGAGCCAAAAGACCAGAATCGACCATAACGACCAAGTTCGAGACCAAGCATATGCCAAGCATTCGAAACCAATATATCGACTGAATACGTTGACAAGAGCGTGGGTGGCCAATCCAGCTTTCGCCAAAGTTGACTGAAGTCGACGGAACCAACGTAGATGGTCGAAGGCGTGGGCTCAGGAAACAAAAAGAAAATCAAAAAAGAAGAGTGTAGCATACGTGTAGTATAGGAATAATCCTACACCGTATCGGTTGTTGACTGTGCGACTATTCGCGGGAGCGTACGGGTAATCGTACTCGGCGACCGGAACGTGAGACGGCAGTCTCGTTCGCGTCGCGTGAGCCTGCAATCTCATCCGAAGTCAAGGGCGGCGTGGTCTGTTGATCTGGACGTGAGACTGTCGTCTCGTCCGTAGACGGTGCAGATGACGCGTGCTGTTGACTGGGACGTGAGAATGAGGTCTCAGATGCATCTAGCGTGGGACCTGAAGAAGATTTAAGGATCCCGCTAGGTTTGATAGGTCTAGCATTGAATCTCAGGGTGTCAGATAGGGCACTGTCATCGACGTGTGCTAGTTTGAGACGATCAATGCTGACGATCTCGACGCGGCCGTGTCGATCAACCTTGAAGGTCTTTTCGTGACGAGCGATCACGTGAAAAGGGCCTTCGTAAGGTTGTTGCCAAGGTTTGCGTACCGAATCTACTCGTACAAAAACATGTGAACACGTAGATAACTCTCGAGGGAGAGCGACCTGTCGATGTTGTATTCGAGTTGACACCGGAGGCAGCGTTCGCATAAATGCAGACAGTCGTTGAACGTAGTCTGATTTAGCGAAATTAGGTCTGCTCCGTGGTGTGAAGAATTCCCCGGACAGACGCAATGTCGTGCCGTATACAAGTTCAGCGGCGGAACATTGGATATCTGCCTTTAAACTCGTTCTGATACCTAAAAGAACGAGCGGTAAGGTTTCGTACCAGTCGTCGTTTTCGTGTGCTCGAAGAGCACTTTTAAGTTGCCGGTGAAACCTTTCAACTAAACCGTTTGAAGCTGGATGGTAGGCGGTAGTGCGTATTCGTTCCGTACCAAGCAGCCGAGTAAGTGAGGAGAATAGTGCGGACTCAAATTGTTGTCCTCGGTCAGTCGTGACAGTCGAGGGACAACCATATAGAGCTATCCATCGTTCTACGAAGCGGTGAGCAACTGTCTCCGCCGTGATAGACGTGATGGGTATAGCTTCGGGCCATCTGGTGAAGCGGTCGATGCACGTGAGTATGTGATCATACCCGTGCGATGGTGGCAGTGGTCCTACAATGTCTAAGTGAACGTGATCGAAGCGAGCATCAGGCGTAGCGAATGTACCGAGGGGTCGGCTACGTGCCTGTGCACTTTTGATCGTTGACATTGTAAGCATTGCTTAGCCCACATACGAACATCTTTATTCATGGACGGCCAGACGTATCGTGCAGCGATGAGGCGTAATGTAGCTGCGATACCTGGGTGAGATAATCCATGCAGGGCATCGAATACGAGACGGCGATAAGCAGAGGGTACGATGGGTCGAGGAAGACCGGTAGAAGTATCACATAGAATGGTGCCAGAAGTCGTGGCCAGAGGTACTTCCTGATACTGAAGGGACGTAGAGTGTGGTGCTTCTGTACAGCTGGGATCGTTTGCTTGGGCAGCGGCCATAGCAGGAAGATCGAGCACCGGCACGGTAACTGCATTCATTTGGATTCGTGATAGAGCATCGGCAACACAGTTCGACTTGCCTTGGATGTGACGAAGATCTGTCGTGAACTGGGAGATATAGTCCAAATGTCTGCACTCTCGTGGTGAGTAGCGGTCAGACTAGGTATGCAAAGCATACGTTAATGGCTTATGGTCGGTGAATAAAATGAATCGACGTCCTTCTACTGCGTGCCGAAAATGTTTGATGGCGCAGTAGGCTGCTAGCAGCTCGCGACCAAAAGCGCTATATCTCGTCTCCGTGGTAGTGAGGCGTCGTGAGAAAAACTCGAGAGGTTGCCAACTACCGGAGATGTTTTGTTGCATGACTGCTCCTATAGCAACATCGGATGCATCAACCGCTATACTAAGCGTGGCTGATGGATCGGGATGGGCGAGAAGAGTGGCTTGCGCAAGAGCCGTTTTGATTTCAGTGAATGCAGTACGTGCAGAATCGTTCATTTCCAATCTGCGTGGGTTGCCACGTAGTAAGTCGGTTAGTGGTCGTAACCGTTCTGCCGCGTGTGGGATGAAACGACGGTAGAAGTTAACCAAACCGAGAAAAGCCTTCAGTTCCTTGAGTGAGGACGGCACGTTGTACTCCTTTATTGCTTGCAATTTGTCCTCACAAGGTAGAATACCCTCTTGCTTAATAACATGACCCAGAAATATTATTTCTCGTTTACCTAACTCGCATTTGTCTGGGTTAACTACTATTCCGTTATCCGAAAGGCGTTGGAATAATAGCGTAAGATGTTGATAATGTTCATCTACGTTTGATGATACAATTAGCAGGTCATCAATATAGACGTGAACAAAATCGAGGTCTCGTACAATGCTATCGATAAACCTTTGAAAAGTTTGAGCAGCATTCCGTAATCCAAATGGCATTCGTAGGAACTCAAACAAACCGAAAGGAGTCGTGATAGCGGTCTTTTCGATATCTTCAAGAGCGACTGGGATCTGATGATATGCTCGTACCAGATCGATCTTAGAAAAGATAGTCGTGCCCTTGAGCGATGCCGTGATGTCGTGTATGTGGGGGATGGGGTAGCTATCAAAGCGCGTAACTACGTTTAGAGCTCGGTAGTCGCCGCATGGTCTCCAACTAACCCCATCTTTTTTGCGCACCATGTGTAGAGGAGAGGCCCATGGACTGTGAGAAGGACGAATAATACCAGTAGCTAGTAAATTGTCAAACTCACGCTTAGCAAAAGCTAATTTGTCCGGTGACAGTCGGCGAGGTCGTGCCGTTTTCGTGCCTTAAGGTAACCCTCGTGCTATTGATAGAAGAAACCAGAGAAGTAGTGAATAGGTCTTTATTTCGATCTTAGCGCAGTCGCAGTGGAGCGTGGGATTATCTGTTCAGACAAACAAAGGCTCTCAACATTCAATATAAGATAATAGGGAATATAACGCTTATGAAAAATAAGGAAGTGAATGAATACTTGAACAATACTGTTTTGGCATAAGCTTGGTTGTTTGGGGTCAACTCTTAACCAACCAACCTGAGCTGTTACATTAGCTTCCCCCTAGAATCGACTTCCGTAGGAACGTCGGTTCGATTAACCTATCCATCGAAAACACCTTAGTTCTATTTCTCATCCCAAGGGAAAATTATCAACTCGCTCACTATTTGACTTACAATCAG